CACACACACACACACACACACACACCCACACCCACACCCCCACCCCCACACCCACACCCACACCCACACCCACACCCACACACACACACACACACACACACACACACACACACACACACACACACACACACACACACACACAAACACACAAACACACACACACACACACACACACACACACACACACACACACACACACACACGCTTTGCCTAGTTTAGATGTCAGTAGCTTCATAATAATTGTAGAAGTACTTAACTGTAAGCTTAATTTTGTTATACTGTTGTTATCGAGTGTACTTTAACTTAAAGATGCAATAAAGATTATTATTATTATTATTATTATTATTATATAATTTAATTGTAACAAAATTTATATAAGGTTATTTACCAATGATAAGATATCCCATGTTTTTTTTAATCATTGTATCGTAATTTTAGCATTCTTTTACCACGCAACTAGACATATTTGCGACAGGCAAATCTGTCGTGCGCGCGCACCACTGCCGAGGATTCGCGTTGGCCCTAAACTGTAATTTTAGGGCCAGCGCACTGGTCCGTTTTAGTTGCTCGGTCGGCCCAGTCCTTACGCTAGTAATGTATAAGTCAATGCTCGGTAGTCAACTTCGAATTAGATAAAATTCCAAAGCCAGACAGTTGCCACTTTCGGAAGTTTTTATTTCATTGTGACAAATTAAACGCTTGTAAGCTGACATAAAATTTCCATGTCAGTTGGATTGTTATTAAAATCCACTGCGAGATCTAACAGCACCGAAAAACATTTCCAGGTGGTCCTGAGACATTTTATAAAAAGGGATAAATTTCAATGTACTTTTTTCTATAAATTCATGGTAAAGCGATTGACTTTATCTTCATTAAAAACCCAAGTAGTCCTATTTTCTCGGTGAATAAATGATTATGGAACCACCTAAAAATTAAATTTTAAAAAAATAATCGTATACTTCGTCTAACTTATTAAAAATGTCATTTCTACTTTTTTGTAAAGGAGGTTTTTATAGCCATAATTGAAAAATAATCTTGAATTAAATATGTCAAATAAGTTGGTAATAAATGTGACAGTTAGCTCCGTGTAAGCTCCGTGTGATAGTTTGGAGCTATTCTATATATACTGATTTATTTCGGAACTTTGATAGCGTGATTTAGGCTTCGATGTATTTCGCTTGTGGCATAACGACAGCGCCACCACACTAACGTTCATTTTCTGTTTGACGTAATTGATATGACGGAAGGTTAATTTGATCGCTGAGTGAAGGCCTATTTCTTTCTGCAACTCGTAAAGAGTTCGTGTAATAAATCCAGGCATATTTTTAAAGGATTTGCATTTTGGGAGGTCGTAAATCCTCTACATGGAAAGTATTCTACTGAAAACGTATTCAATGCTACCACCATAAACACTAAAACCTGGTTCTCAATCTCAGCACCATCCATAGCCAAATCGTTGCTAAAATTTACAAATCCATAATGTCTCTGGCCTAACCCCTTCAGCGTATTCTCGTAAACTCATTTCATCAAAAGTGAGACATATTTTTAGATCAGGCTTCTTTTTCTCATTTCTCTTATGGTGTTTAAAGTTCTCTTATGGTGTGGAAGACGTAAATCAAATTTTCCACGCAAATAATTATATGCACTTGGACTATAGAAATGTATTGTTACCGCAAATTTTCGTAACTCTTCATTATATTTGGATGTGGACAGTATTTTACCACATTTTTTATCGTTAACCCCGTTAATTAAATTCTGTATCAATTCATTACTACATGCCATAGTGATCTTTCAATCCCGGTCTTGAATGAATTTCTTTAAGGACGCTTTGCAATGTGTCTTTTAGTTTTTGCTACTAAACTACGTATATTATTTTGTTTTTCCTTCAGCTTTTGTTTGATTTTCTTGTTTTTTGATAAAAGTTTTTTTTCTTGGTGTAAGTTGATCACATCTTTTTTGATCTTGTGACTTCAAAGGTGGAGGAGTTATGTCACGATTGACATACGATGACGCTACTCTCTCTTTCACCTGTCCCTGAAAAATAAAGTAATAATAAATTTATTATCATTTTATTAATTTTAAAAACATAATGACAGAAAAATTAACAGAGGCAAGCAAATACGCCGAAGATATTAAAGTGTATGAGGATATAGATGAACTCTCTATTCTCTTAATCTCGGTATTTAAGAAAACGGTCACCCACCCATGGACTGACTGCACAAGCGCAGATCTATTGATTTACGCGACTGTTTCTTAACCACGAGTTCCAGCCCTCGGCTCACTGTCATCGGGCATTAAGCACGAATCGGACATCGAGCGTTACGAGTACCAAATACTATGAAATTTATACTATCCTGACACACTGAACCGCGTGTCTCATACGCGAGTGTTTAGCGGCGTATCTGGAGAATTACTAAATATACTTATCTAACTAGGCTAAAAGTTTTATCACTGTATTTTATCAAATCAAAACATCTATTTCTATTTCTAACTAAAGTTTTTGAAGTTAAGTATTTGAAGTCTTACTGTAACAATATTATACTTACTGGTATAAATAATGTAGGAATGGCTCCTTTTAATAAAATTGTTTTTACTCTGTTTTTTTTTAAATATATTTCTCTAGAAAATGTTTGCTGCAACTTGTAGATTTTTTTTGGATTCCAACCAACCCGCCCAATCAATGCCAATCATTTTTTGAACCACGTAAAGAATCCAGAGGGAATCTGTTTGACAAACAGCAAAATAAAATTATTATTTTTGTTGTGTAGATAAGTATATCGATTCTTTATCAACATTCAATATAAATATCGACATTAAATTAGATATTTTTGAGTCAATCACTAGCGTACATGTAAAATATTTTGTTCAAAAACGAATTTACCAAAATCGTATAAATAAACAACAATGTGACTTTTTTCTTTGCAAAATATCAAAATTAATAAAATAATTGATAATTGATAATATTCTATAACTTAAACAGTATAAAACATAAATTTTAACCAAAAATAGACGCGTCCTATAATATGCAACCATCAGGATTATTTCTATGATTAACACAACAGTCACTCATTGAACATGTAACCATTTCGAAAAGCTACGAATTACAACAATTAACACTTTTATGATGCAAATAATTAGCGTTAATTTGCGTACCGACTTGTGCTGACCTGCCATTCAAAATCGGTTACAGAGTCATGAAATTTGGTATCATTTTCTATCATGCATTTTTTCCATAAGGAATTTTCTTCTCCCTTACGCACTATGTTCGTCTATACGCCAGTATATTCTAAGTCTATGATACTGGCGTATAGACGACCTGACAGCCCGAAAACGCGTGACCAATTTTTATTTGTCATTGTGTGCGTTTACAAATTACAAAATTTTAAAATTTAAATTATTTAAATTCAAAATTTAACTTACACTAAGTTCTTTATACAAAAAATAAACAGAAATAAAAATAAAATCGTCAAAAAACGAAACCTATAGATAAACTAGACGCGTGACTGACGTAAACATTCCGGCACATGGGAAGAAAGAAACATAAAACGTCCAACGTGATATAATTTTTAAAAAATAGTATAATTTTATTTTCCATGTACAATATTTTTGAGGGTCTGAATCATTGAGTTATACAACACTAGAGGAGCAAACCCCATTACCGCGCGTCGAAAAAAGTGTAACCACTATCTAAACGCGACGATGTAGCTTTGAAACTAATAACAATTTTAAATAAACATATATCTATCTCACTTACACAAGTTGCGAAAACAATATAGTCGCTAAGATTGGATAAAGATAGACACACGAACATGCAACGGCGGGTTGGTGTGGCTTACTATATGAAATTTTACCTAAAATACGCAATAAAAATGATTTTTTTAAGCTGCAGTTAATTGTTTTTATAGTAAAAAAGTATATTTTATTTTAAAATCTTTATTGCATCCCCTTAGAAAAAACGGATACAAAGCTTATCAGATGAATAGAAGTAAACATAATGATGAAATAAAACATATTTTTATAAGTTTTTTATTGTACTAATAAATCAAACAATATAAAATAGGTAATAAAATATATTTAATAGATAATTCATGAATAAACTAAAATAAGAATAATAAATTACTTTGAAAGTTAAAACGTAGTTTTTATTATAATTTCCAAAATATTTAAAATCAGAGGTAACAAATTAATTTACTCCATTAATTATATAGTCTCCCATTAATGTAGGATAATCACAAATGCGGAAAAGTGGCAACATTGAACCTTAATGGCAATATTCGATAATTTTATTTAATTTTTTGAGGTTTTTTACGTTTATATGAAAACCAGAACTAAAAATTGTGTGTTGAAAGTAATTCCGCTTGATTTATGACATTTGTTTGACCTTGAATAGCATTCTGTCACTACGCATTTACCCATTTTTTGTCGCGGACCGTTCGGCTCAACTCCGTCGGCGTCACATTGAACACTGAACTGACGTTAGCTCGGCATATGGCTGTGGCCATATGTGCAGTGGCAACGCTTTGGCGCGGTTATTACTGATCTAGTGTAATATATAAATCAATGGTCTGAATCCAACCTTGGCCTAATCTTGGTAACGTAACTAAACTAAGTGTAAAATAAAACTTTAAAAATACATTTATATAATAATTTAATCGTAAAAAAATTAATATAAGGTTATTTACCGATGATACGATATCCCATATTCATTTTCAATCTTTGTATCGTAAATTTTGCATCCTTTTATTACGCAATTAGACATATTTGTGACAGGCAAATCATAAAAATTTGCAATATCACAATCATCTACAGAGTAATTTGACACATATGATTGTACAGTTTCGTTCGACCGCGGGGGGAGACATATTATCATAAAAAAGATTGAGTAGATGTAGAGGGTGCAGAGGGATTGAAATATTGTTGTGAAAGTACACGAGGTGGTGGTGGTGGTGGTTGAGATTGTGGTTGGGTTGTAGACATTATTAGCTGAGGAAGTATACGAGCTAGTGCGGGTTGGGCTGGGATATTATTTGTTGCGAAATTATACGAGGTTGTTGTGGTTGAGGAAGAATGTATGTTGCAGCAGTAGAATTATAATTATTATAGTTACATTGTGTATAATATTTTAGGGTGTTCAAAATCGCAATCTGGGCATCAATTTTCTGATCTGGTGGAATTGACTTTAATAATGGAACCAATGATAACGCGAAATAATTGTCTGGGTCTGGTGGTGTCTGGATGTCTTGGTGGTTGGTTTTATCCCTTAATATTTCTAATAAAGATTCTTCGTAACTTTTATTCTTCTTCTTTTCTTTTGTTGGTCGTGTTATTGCTGGTGTAGAAGAATCGTTCTCACTTATTGCTTCTTCGTCAAGCGATGTCACGTTAATTGAGGTTTCTCTCCCTGGCTCCATAGAAGGTACCAAAAACAGTAACTTATCAAAGTACACGTATCGTTTTCGTTTAGGTGCAGCTTGCCCTGATTTTACGTCTTTTTGACAACGAAGCTCCCTCGAAAAACATGCTCTTAAATTTTTCCAACGGCGTTGTATCACTTTAACTGTAAAAATAACATTCTTTTATTTACAGGTATTTAGCAACTGGTGCAAGTTTCAATGCATTATCTTTTGAATACCTAATTGGAGCCACAACACTTCGTAATATTGTAAATTCAGCGTGCCAATCTTTATAGGAAGCATTGCAATCTCTGTACATGGCAGAAAAAAAATGAAGAAGAGTGGTATAAAATTGCTGACCAGTTTTTCGAGCGTACTAACTTTCCTAATATTATCGGTGCCGTCTATGGTAAACATGTTAGAATAACGAATCCAAAGCACAGTGGATCTGATTATTTTAACTATAAAAATATTTCTCTATGGTTTTGATGGCATGGGTAGACGTAGATTATAAATTCATCTACATTGATGTCGGATCACAAGGAAGCGCAAGCGACTCGACGATTTTTAAAAATTCGAATACTGGCAGAAGGCATCAAGAGAATTTATTAAATATTCCGATTGGACGAATTCTACCTAATGATGAAAATGGAAAAATAATGCCTTTTTGCATTGTAGGTGATGAAGCCTTTGGTCTGTCGAAAAATATCTTACGACCGTTTTCTAAGAGAGGACTTACAGTTGCCAAAAGAATCTTTAATTATCGACATACAAGAGCACGTCGAATGGTGGAGTGCACATTTGGAATACTGTGTAATAAATGGAGAATTTTACACAGACCTATCGATATTAATATATAATTTTGTGATAAGATTGTAATGGCTTGCTGTATATTACATAACTATGTACGCGTTAGAGATGGAATTCAATTCACAGACACCGCGTACGAATGTACGCTCAGCAATACGTCTACACATCAGTGGCATCGAAATATGTCCTGTGTCAATATAAGAAATTATTTTACTTCTTATTTTATTTCACCACAAGGATCCGTACCGTGGCAATATGAAAAAATATAACTAAACATGTATGTTTAGTTATATTTTTTCATATTGTCATAAGTTATACATAACTTATGATAATAATAGTCACAATTCACAAGGGCATACGCAATAATTCATTTAAATTTCAATCTTATGTCAATGTGGGTAAATAATAATTCCGCAACGCTCTAGTGATACCTATACCTAATGCCCCATTTACATTCAGCCCTGTTGGGCAGGGAAGTGAGCAGGGCAGCGGGCAGGGCAGTATGTAAACAGGCTACTCGCGCTGACACTGCCGCTGCCGCTGCCACTGCCCGACGCTCCCTCAAATGTCGGTTGTTGATTGTCGTCTACATGCCCAAGGGGGCAATGCAGGTATCGGGCCTCGGGGTATACCCCATTGCCCGGATAGTCCTCATGGCCCATCACTATGGGCCAGTCCTTGTAGCCTATTTAGGCATAGATAGTATTCCGGGTTAATCCGTAGTCGGGTAATGTTTTTAGTTAACCGACTACGGGAAAAAGAGAGGTTGTCGAGTAAAAGTCAAAGTTGGCCTTTCAGTGGCATTGAGGGTTGTTACTCGACTCTCTAATCGATATAGAGAGGAGTTCTCTTCACGGGCAGCGCGAGCGGCAGTGAGTGTTCACATTCAGCTCCATCGCTCACTTCGCGCCAAGCGCCTGGATGAACGGATGTGCGTGCCGTCTTGTTATTAAATAAGTACGATCTACCAAAATGCCTTTCGAGTGGAATAATGAAAATACAATAAAGTTTTTAGAACTGCTAGAATCAGAAAAAACTATGGGATTTCAACGATAAAAACCACAATTCATCATCTTCTACGAATACGAATTTTCTTTTTGAGATAACATAGTATCTATGTACATAATTAATTATAAATTCGTAAAATTTATTATATTAATATAAAATTTAGTTTAAGGAATTAATAAACATTGACATTTTATTTCTAAAAACAATTAGTAACTCATATTGATTATTTATTAATTAAAATGTAAAATAAGTTAAAAGGTAATATTTGCATAATAGCCTGAGATTTTTAAATTACAGTTTTATTGTAATTAAAATTGTGAATTAATTTAAACTGTAGTGTAATTATTAAAATTATAATAGCTTAACAAATCTCATATAATATTTAATATTATTTATGTAACAATAATGTAATAATTCAATTAATAATTTATGAACAATTTACTGTATTAGAATTCAAATAGAGTGGATCTGTATAAGTATTTAATTGTACATAATATTTGAATTCAAAAAGAATTGAATAAAACTAAATTTACGGATTTTATCGCGTTTATTTCACTACTTTTACTTATTTTTAATTCCCGACGTTTCGGGTGCTTTACAGCAACCATGGTCACGGGGGGGACTGAGATGTTTGACGTCCCAATGTCATAGTTAGTCCGGCTACCTTCAGTTTTTGAATATTAATTTTTGGTCCGATTTACGCAAAACGAGCTTATAGTAAAAGGATCTCCTAGGTGTGCGTTGTTTGTAGTTAGCAGTGGCTGCAAATGACCGCCGGTACGACATACTCCGCCGAACGTTGAGTCCCGTGATTCCGTGAGGCGTCGAGGTCACCGGCCCCTAGGTGATTCTTGGGCACTTCATGCGCTCCGAGCATCCTGTGTCTAGTCGCGCATTAAAGTGCCACCGTCGCACTTCCCCCAACCCTTTTGGTTACAAAAGGGGTAGGCAGTGCCCATAGTGAGGAAAGCCGCTTACTAGTATTACCATCACATTTAGATAGGGCCTTTTAGACTACAGCTGACAGGTTAGGTTGCACCTTAGCATGTCAGGTAGGGACAAGGGGGAACCACCCCCCAAGTCTAAAATACCACCGGATAAGAAAGAAGTGTTGGAGAGACCACTTGTGATCAGGGATCTGGCGAACCCAGAGCGCACCAGAACGGTGCCAGCGTTCTCCCATATCCCAATGCGGAAACCCGTCTCGCCGCGGAAGGAGCCCGCAACGGGCGGCGCGCTCACGCCGGCCGTGTCTGAGCACACGGTCAGGCAGGAACCGTCGCCCTAGCAGCAGCGGGCTAAGAAAACGGCCAGACGCCATATACCACCAGAGACCGAAGCCTCCCTATTTGAGAAGAGGCAACGGATAGGCTCCCAGCTGTCATCAGACGAAGCACCATCCTCATCAGATGATGAAAGATACCACCAGGTGGTGACGACGAAGAAGGTGCTTAGGTCACCACCGAAGGCACCTTCTCCACCACAATCCCCCCCCCCCTCGCTCTATATCACCAGATCGACGAAGCCGAGATTCGGCCCAGTATGAGCAGGGGGGTGAGGAATCCTACAGCTAGGGGTCGACTACCTACGCAACCCTGGCAGCATCCGCCGGCCGTTCATCGCCGGTGGCAACATCCAATCCGTCCGGGCTCCCGCAGTATGATGGTCAACGACCATCTACCAGCTATGCCCATATGGTAGCTGCACCAGCAGTACCACGCCCACAACCGGCGGCAGTGCCTCTTGACAAGCCTGCCGACCAGGAAAAGACTAGATACCCACCTATAGTGGCTGAATGCCTACCGGACTGGACGAGGCATTTCAAGGAGCTCAACAGAATGTTGGGCCACCCTTTAAATGCCCGTCCGTTCGGGAAAGGCGTACGGTTTACGCCGCAAAGCGCCAATGAATTCCGTACAGTTCAGCGCTATATGGTGGAGCTGACTAAGGAAAACACCGACGCTGTCATGGTACTGCTACACCCCGGAGGAGGACAAGCCCACCAAAGTGGGCATCCGGGGGCTACCTATGGGCACGGATACCAAGGCAATAGAGGAGGCCATAAGGGCAAAAGGCTTCCCTATCAAATACGTCAAGGCAATCCCACCACGTAGAGGCAGACCTGGCTGCATCTACTTTGCCCAACTAGATCACCTGAGCCTGGAGCAGCTCCAGAATTTATATAATGTCGACGAACTCCTCTTTATGAGAGGGGTCGTCATCGAGGCCTGGCAAAGGAAAGCAGGACCGGCTCAATGCCACAGATGCCAGGCCTTCCGGCACGCCTCTGCCAATTGCTTCAGGCCAGTGAGGTGTGTGCGCTGTGCCGGGGAGCACATAGCAAGCCTTTGCCCTCGGGGTAGAGAGGAAGAACCCAAATGTGCCAACTGTGGCAAAAACCACACGGCAAATGACCGCCGCTGCCCAGTCCTGAGGAGGACTGCTAGGAGGCAGGGGATTACCTTACCGGGGCTACTCCCGGAGGACCCAAAAAGGATCCCCCAGAGTCGCCCGAAAGCTGTTACCATCCAGCAAGACGGGTGGGTTACCATCACAGGGAAGGGCAGGCAATCATCCCCCCCCCACCCGCAACACCTAAAGATACGGTGGAACCCACAGAGACAAGGGCAACCACCGGGGCGACTCTACAGCCTCCCGCCAACCCTGCCACATAACGGCAACCCTCTAAGAAGAGGAGGCGGGAAAGGAGCAGAAAGAAGTCGCAGCCTCCTCAAGCTGTAACCTCTACCCCGACACCATCTGGACCAGTAGCCTCACAGGCGCAGATTACTCGGGAGTTGACCAAAAGCGTGGGTAGAGTGCCAGAAAGGGCCCTACCAGAACGTAGAGCCCGCTCTACAGTTAGAGCGCGCTCTACCCACAAGCCAAGAGGGCAGGACCAGGAACATCCACACCCGAGACAATTGCCAACGCCTTCATATAGGAAAACACCCGCCACCGGCCTCGAGACAGCAGACGCGATACAACGCTTAGTTGGTATTGCTATCGAGGTCGGTACACAAGTCCTGGCGGATATCAGAGCCGGGACGGATCCAGTCACGGCGATCATGAAGGCGCTGGCAAACCTATTAGCCCGGCATTACGGAGGAGAGTAATCTGCACCTCCTCTACTGGAACCCGGGCGGAATACAGCAGAAGCTGCATGAACTCCGCACAGTCGCCCAGCAACAGGACTTGCACATCATTTTGCTGGGCGAGACAAAATTAAATCCCAGGACGCATATTAAGCTGCCAAATTACCACCTTTACAGAAGGGACGAGGTCACCCCTCAAGGGGCCGCCTACAGAGGGACGGCGGTTCTTGTGAGGAGGGACATCGTCCACCAAGAGCTGGAACTACCACCTTACCAGACTATGCGTTCTATCGGCATAAGAATGGAGGCGGCGGGCGAGGAACTAAGGATCTACGCAGCATACCGCCCGCCAGGGACTCCATTCTGCTCCTCAAACATCCGGACGGTGAT